GCGATATTTTGCGTGCGATATTTTGCGATATTTTGTGTGCGATATTTGTGTGCGATCATATTGTGTGCGATATATTGTGTGCGATATATTGTGCGATATATTGTGTGTGATATTGTGGTGTAGTGTGTGTGATTGTGTGTGTTGTGATTGTGTGGTGCGTGATGTGTTGTGCGTGATTGTGTGTGCGTGATTGTTGTGCGTGATTGTGTGTGTATTGTGGTTGCGTGATGTGTGTGCGTGATTTTGTGTGCGTGATTGTGTGTGCGTGTTTTGGTGTGCCTGTGATGTGTGTGTGTGCGTGATTGTGTGTGCGTGATTGTGTGTGCGTGATTGTGTGTGCGTGATTGTGTGTGCGTGATTGTGTGTGCGTTATTGTGTGTGCGTGATTGTGTGTGCGTGATTGTGTGTGCGTGATTGTGTGTGCGTGATTGTGTGTGCGTGATTGTGTGTGCGTGATTGTGTGTGCGTGATTGTGTGTGCGTGATTGTGTGTGCGTGATTGTGTGTGCGTGATTGTGTGTGCGTGATTGTGTGTGCGTGATTGTGTGTGCGTGATTGTGTGTGCTATTGGGGTGCGTGATTGTGTGTGCGTGATTGTGTGTGCGTGATTGTGTGTGCGTGATTGTGTGTGCGTGTGATTGTGTGTGCGTGATTGTGTGTGCGTGATTGTGTGTGCGTGATTGTGTGTGCGTGATTGTGTGTGCGTTTGTTGTGTGTGCGTGATTGTGTGTGCGTGATTGTGTGTGCGTGATTGTGTGTGCGTGATTGTGTGTGCGTGATTGTGTGTGCGTGATTGTGTGTGCGCGATTGTGTGTGCGTGATTGTGTGTGCGTGATTGTGTGTGCGTGATTGTGTGTGCGTGATTGTGTGTGCGTGATTGTGTGTGCGTGATTGTGTGTGCGTGATTGTGTGTGCGTGATTGTGTGTGCGTGATTGTGTGTGCGTGATTGTGTGTGCGTGATTGTGTGTGCGTGATTGTGTGTGCGTGATTGTGTGTGCGTGATTGTGTGTGCGTGATTGTGTGTGCGTGATTGTGTGTGTGTGATTGTGTGTGTGTGATTGTGTGTGTGTGATTGTGTGTGTGTGATTGTGTGTGTGTGATTGTGTGTGTGATTGTGTGTGTGATTGTGTGTGTGATTGTGTGTGTGATTGTGTGTGTGATTGTGTGTGATTGTGTGTGATTGTGTGTGTGTGTGTGTGGGTGCGTGCGCGTGTGTGCGCGCGCGTGTGTGTGTGTGCGCGCGCGTGTGTGTGTGTGTGTGTGTGTGTGTGTGTGTGTGTGTGTGTGTGTGTGTGTGTGTGTGTGTGTGTGTGTGTGTGTGTGTGTGTGTGTGTGTGTGTGTGTGTGTGCGGGTGGTGTGCTCTTTTGCTGCTGCTACATGTAAGTTTAGGGGTTAGGGAGATGGGCTAATTTAGGCCAGGTGCTTAGGGGTGGTGGTACAGTGCACCAGCTTCGATGATCGTGCCCAGCGGTCTCCTGCCAAGGGTGCAAAGGACCAGGAGGCAAGCACTCCACAAACAGCCAAGAAAGAGGAGGGCCCAAAGGTGGCTAAGGATGGAAAGGATGCCAAGCAGGCAGGGCACTAGAAGAAAGAGCTGCCCTCGTCCTTCAGATGCCGTCGGGTGGTGATTGGGGGTGGGAAGTGGAGGCCGAGACGTTCTTGAGGGAAGGACATGCTTGTTTCGTGTTCAGGGTTTTGGAGAGGAAGCCCTTTGTTTCGCTGTCGCGGTGGCCATCTGCCATGTGGGCAGCCATTCTTGTCGTCCGGAAAACGCCCCTTGAACGCAAAGGATAGCAAGTCAGGGAGAGAAAAGGACAGCAAAGAAGCCAAGAGCAAAGACGTCAAGGACATGAAGGCCGCCTCTGTATTCCTTAGGCTTCTCTTCGCTCTGCCATGCTGTGCCAAGGCGGTGAAAGAGGCAAAGCCAGCAAAGGATGCAACAAAGGACAAGGACAAGGCAGATCCCACACGAAGAGCGGAGTCCAGACACGCGCTTGTTTAGATGTCTTCCCCCACTTTTTTCTTATCAAAATGGCTCTTGAAACACTCTTTTCATGAAGATCATGGATATCGACCATCTTCATTTTAAACGGTATTTACACGTCTCCCCCACTTTTTTCTTATCAAAATGGCTCTTGAAACACACTTTTTCATGAAGGTCATGGATATCCCGTCTTTCCTCCACTATTATGACATGCCACACACCACTGTAGCCCCTGCAGTTGATTCGCTGCCACGTGCTCGTCAGATCTCGTCGGATCGCCCGGGGTCCTTGAGTGCAGGTCAAGGCTGCTGCGCCCACGAGGGAGAGGGAGAAGGACAAGGAGAAGGACAAGGAGAAGGACAAGGAGAAGGAGAAGGACAAGGAGAGGACCAAGGAGAAGGGCAAGGAAAAGGAGAAGGACAAGAGCCGACCGAAAGAGCAGGCTGCGAGGGTTTACTTTGCCTCTCCCATCTCTGGGGATGATGAACGGCATGAGTAGGGATATTTCCCTCTAAAACTAACAGTCCTTCATAGGGATTATAGTACTCCCCATTATAATATCCCTGTCGCCCTAAACCCTTAGTTATTAAGGACTGTTAGTATAAGGGGGAACATCCCCAAACATGAGGGTTGTGCAAGGTGCTTCCCTTTGCTAGCTCGATTCAGGGTATATTCGGGGTACCTCCATTTTTGGGAAATGCCCATATGAGTTCACATTCCCCGGATGTTGGAATTCTATCCCGGCGTTCTGTGGCTTCGATTGCGGCAGAGCAGCTGGCACTGTGCGGTTGGAGACACGGTCTTGTCTTGTCGTCGAAAGCAATGGGCATTCGATGCTCCTGCTTCTGAGTTCTTCAGCGAGCAAGCGAAGAGGAAAGGAATCGATGCAACTCCTAGACCGAGACACCCTCAAGCAGGGAGGTCTATTGAAGCCTGTTACTTTCGAGTAGATGGCTGCTAGACTGGCGGCAACAAACCCGAAGTTTGCATGTCCCACAGCCATGGCCGTCTCAAGTCTTCCCTTCTTAGGGGGGGGCGGGGTGGGGGGGTGGGGGGTGGGCATCCCTCTCGAGATGCTTTGCTTGAGCTCAAACATATGTTGTCCTCCAGTCAGGAAAGGGAAAAGGATCGCAAGAAGAGGCTCCGAAAGGGTCGAAACCCTTTACCCGACCAGCAACACAACTGCTGCTATGTCACTGCTTGGACCTGCAAGGTTCGCTTGTTTAGGTTACACTACACTAGTCTCTGCTTTAGCCAGTACGCATTCCCCGCGTGTTCTGGTACCTGTTTTGTGGGAGATGCGCGGCAGACTAAGCAAGCAAGGAGCCGCGATCGTCAAGAAGGCAGCTCGAGCTGTAGCCGAAGCAGGCCAATGTACTTGAGTCCGGGGAGGGGGAGTTTGCATGCGCATCCAGTGCAGATACTTTTGGCCCATTGCTTGCCTTGCTGCAATTCAGTTGTCCAATGTGATGTGAGCGGAATCTGCCGGTCGGGAGGTGTGTGGGGAGGGGAATGAATGAGGGTCCTTAGGATATTAAAATCATGATAAAGACCATAACGCAGTACAACATCATCGTTCCTATCATGCTATCATGCTTAGGTACATGTGCGTGCGGCATCAACACCGCACCTTAAGGGTCACAAAGCCTTGGGTATAAGCTCCGATAGGAGCGGAAGCGGGCTGTTGCCCGGACGTCATATTTGTGACCATGCTTGCTGTCTCTGTGGTGCCTCAACTCGTTATTACGATTTGAGGAGCAACCCTAAACCCTAAACCCTAAACCCTGAACCCTGAACCCTGAACCCTGAACCCTGAACCCTGAACCCTAAACCCTAAACCCTAAACCCTAGCTGCAGGAAACGAAAAGCCAGCCCGAGTCGCACGCGCAAGAAGCGTTGACCGGCTTTGGGGCGCGGAGGAACCTTAATATTGGGCTCATATACCCTACTGTACCAGACTCTGATAACGGCTACAATGCTATTTGGGGTTTAGGGTTTAGGGTTTAGGGCGTAGGGTTTAGGGTTTAATCGCTATAATCCTACTAAGCTACATGGACCACAACAAATAGGGCTAATTTGGTCTCAGGTTCTAGGACATGTACGTTGACGGTGATTGGTCCTTGCAAATACTTCGCTCTCCATAACAAAGGCAACGTGTGCTTGCCAGCTTCTGCAAATGCATAAAACGGTAGGAGGTGGACAGGTCCGGAGTTTGCACAAGGTTTCCTTATAGGTGCTTTAGACTTGTCTTTCCTTGCGACTGCCGTGAAGACAGCCACAGCTAGGTGATACTGCACACCGGCGATCACAATTGAAAGCATGCAATATCCAGCATACCTTCGCTTCATCGTAGAACAGACATAAGCACCACGCACGTTTGCAGCGCGCTGCTGCACTTCGATGCCAGAGAGTCGCATGATTGCTTCGGGAGAAAGGCTGACCGACGTGATGCACCATAGTATGGGGGCTCCACAGGTGTGTGCTTTCACCACTTGGCTTTTTCGGTCCTGATCCATCCCTGTTATAGTTGTGCTCCTCTTTGCATCCAGCTTGCATGAAGAACACAAACCTCGGAGATCATCAGGGCTTTCCTCTGCCTCATATGGGGGGGTTTCCGAAATTAGGGGTACCTTCTTGGGGTCCTTATTCTAAGGGGTTTCCCTACTAGGGGCTATATGTCGGGGATCCCCCTATTTTCATAAACCCTGAACCCTAAACCCTAAACCTGTTTAGTTGTATTTATGGTTTGGTTTGGATAATTGATAAAGTGCAGGGGGAAGAGAATGTTGTTGTAGGTCCTCCGGCGGGACCGCCCTTTTTCCTCTGAGCAGACCAACGACTAACCCTGCCTGCGGTTCGGCCAGCTATGCGGGAGCGAAAAAAAACCCTAAACCCTAAACCCTAAACCCTAAACCCTAAACCCTAAACCCTAAACCCTAAACCCTAAACCCTAAACCCTAAACCCTAAACCCTAAACCCTAAACCCTAAACCCTACAGGAAGAACTGGGACTCAGGCTTCGGCCGACCTCAGCGCAGTGGATGATGCCGTGGCCTGAGCCTGCGCAGAGGAGGAGGACGTAGGAAATCTGATGGTCGTGTCGTAGTGTGCGGTTTGGGGTTTAGGGTTTAGGGTTTAGGGTTTAGGGTTTAGGGGTTTAGGGGTTTAGGGGTTTAGGGGTTTAGGGGTTTAGGGGTCTAGGGGTCTAGGGGTTTAGGGGTTTAGGGGTTTAGGGGTTTAGGGGTTTAGGGGTTTAGGAGTCTTGTTCAGGGCCTTAAGACTGCTACAGACATGGGGCATGCGGTTTTTCGTGTGTGAAACTAACGGGGGGGGGGGGGGATCAGCTCGAAGGAATAAGCTACCAGCTGCAGCAGCCAGGTACGGGTCAAGTCCCACCCAGCCCCTAGTTGCTGCAGCTTGGGAACAGACCTGAAGCATGCCTAGGAGCTTAGACGGAAGGGCTGGACACAGGTCCCGACCTGTCGAAGAGTGCCGTGGGGAATCACAAAAAGATGCAGTCAGGCAGAAAAGGTCTTCAAAGAGATGTTCGGAAGAAAATCCTGTCATGCATCTCGGTGAGCCATGGCAGACGACTGCGACCTGTTGCCCGCAGATGCACCAGCCGGACATATTGCTTACAAAAGAGTCAGGCGCCTCCCTGCAAGGAATGCCTTCCTAACTCATCCCAGTTTAGAGTCTAGAATCACGGTCCTAGGCAAGAGGAAGCAGATAAGGCAGGCTTCTCTGGCAGACGCTAGCATTGGCAAAGCATGCAGTAGGTCGCTGAGTGTGGATACCTGGCATTTCGTCATCTTCTTCAACTGTTCCACGTAGCCGCTCAACCCGCAGACCGCTCTTTTCCGCCCCAGCAGGTTCGATGACAAACATGGTCGGAATCGCGCGGTCTTCCGCTTTAAAGGACAGCACTTCCAGACCAGTGTGGCAAAGGCGGGGACGCGCCATGCTGCCGAGGCCCTTCGGTGTCTAAACTCTGCTGGTGTTGGACGATGGCTCCATTCTCTTAGGGTTTAGGGTTAAGGGTTCTTCTCTCTCTGCTCTCTCTTTCGCTTGCTTGCTCGCCAGCTAGGCACTTCGTCTCGAAGTGCTCCCACCATGCATGGATCACCAATTTCTGTTCTTCCATACGGTGAGGTGGTAGGAGCTACGGTGTCGCCCCCTGTACCAGTACTTCCATCGCGCCCCAAAGCCATTCCTTGTTCTCAGAGAGTTCAAGTTCATATTCTTCTGGGACCCGTATGCCGCGCAAAGCCCCAACTCAAAAAGCTGCTGTCTCTTGTCGTCATGCTTCGAATCTCCGGTGAGTCCAGCAGGTCTCCTGCGACAGTATGTTTATTCAGTTCAGCGGCTGCCTTTTGACTCTGTTCTGCTTTGGCTTGACGTCTCTGGTGTTGCAAGCATGTTTTTGGAACCCTGGTTGCTCTCTGTCACTGACGTTCGAAGATTCCGATCTGGTTCTGGTTTGGCCGAAGAAGATACAGAAGCGCGGGGGTTTTGCAGCATGTTTGTTTGTTTGTTTGTTTGTTTGTTTGTTTGTGTGTGTGTGTGTGTGTGTGTGTGTGTGTGTGTGTGTGTGTGTGTGTGTGTGTGTGTGTGTGTGTGTGTGTGTGTGTGTGGTGTGTGTGTGTGTGTGATTGTGTGTTGTGTGCTTGGATGTCTCGCATATCTTTCCAGGGACAGATATGTGCTGCGACCACGCTGTGCAGGTTTTTGCTAAGCTCATTATAGATGCAGAGGCGCTGAACGGTAGGTTCCCCTTCTGCCGAACCTTATCAGCAGTGTTGCACCTGCAGTGTTGTTTTGACTATGACCGCGACCTCTCTGCTGTGCTGCCAGGTGATAGCCCGAGCATGTTGGATGAAGTTCGAGAATGGGCAGGTGCTGGCTTTTGATTTCGTTTTGAGTTTGTCTGGGTCCAGCTGGCCAAATCAAGCCCTCGTGTCCGTGCCTGGGGCAGGACAAGGATGCAGTCATCAGCTTCCGTGATCAATGCTATGCAATGGTTGGTGGGCAAACCTCCCAAGCCAAGCGGCCGAGAATTGCTAGGCCAAGCGTTGCCCACACAAATCCATGGTTTGCGCTGTTTACTGCTACAGGGCTGACAAGGCTGTTTTTCCCTTGCCTTGCAGGCCCAACGACAACGAGGAGGTCATGCATCTGGATATGATGAGATATAGTCTCGGCCTGTCCATGACTGCAAGTGCCGTCGATCCCGTCGAGTCAATGCACAGTGAGGATTTCCACGGCATGCTTCGCAAGGTTTCTGCGAGGAAGCCCTTCTGACTTCAGACCTTTAGAGTTCTTAAGGGATGGGGGTTCAAGGTGGTACGTAACCCAAAGTTTCCTAATACTCCCTAAGGCTCCCTAAGCTTCCCTTAACCTCCCCAGGTACCTGCCAGCCAGGAACCCCCCTCCCTTTTGAACCCCATAAGACCTCCGAAGAGTAGGCCTGCGCGCAATTCCCGCAGGGTTTGCTGCCGGATTTGAAGTAGTCATTTCCGGTGGATACGGTTTCACATTGCTGCAAAGTGTGGCGGAATCTTCGAACATCATCGAATCCTAGAGGGATGGCCTGGCGTGCATTCCCATCGCCCATCCTGTGTCATGCCGAGGGCTGGCAAAGTGAAAAGTGGGGGAGACCCAGAACCCTAAACCCTAAACCCTAAACCCTAAACCCTAAACCCTAAACCCTAAACCCTAAACCCCGCGCCTGGCTTGTCCGAGTGTGAGCGATTAAACCAGGGTTCAGTCTGCGGGGTCCCTATTTTGAGTGTCCGCAGTGGACTGTACCATATTCAGGGTATGCAAGGGGGGCATCCCACTAGATTTGGAAATGATCGCTGGAAGCTCAACAACATTAACTCCGAACACAGACTTGCACAAGACGAAGTCCCAGCTAGTCAGGCATCAAATCCTCTTCAGGCAACCAACCGCGAATCACAGCGGTAATTGCTTTCGGGAGGGAGGGTAGGGGGGCGGGGGGGCTTTGGGTTTAGGGTGTAGGGCTCAAAACAAGTGTCTGAGTCGTCGCCGAGGCCCTGTCGCGAGTGCAAGGTTTTGGGACAGCCAAACAGGGCGGGAGCATAGCCAAGCCTCAAACAAAGGTTAAAGTCTAGGGTGTACCTGCAAAGAGTGTTTAGCGTCCAGGTCTTGCTTTCATGCTGAGGAATCTTCATTGTGATATGCTACGAGACGATCGATCATCTTCTCATCATGTTTGAAATTGTACCAGGGGTTGGCTTGCAAAAAGTACGGCAGGGTTTACAGGGGTTAGGGTTGCAGAAGCGTTTGGAGTTTAGGCGGGTGGCCCAAAAGCCGTATAAAATCCCCGAAAAGCCCTCCGAGGCCACTCTCGTGGATCTCCCGGGCCTCACCACAATTGAGCAGAAGAGGAGACTGCAAGCGCGGCACTTGGCTCTTCTCTCAGGGCCTGAGTTGGGTTTGGGGTTTCGGGGCCAGTTTAGGGTGCATTTCAAGGTTAACCCAAGCCTAACCCACCCTAACTAGGCGCGTTGCTTTGACAACCGTCCTAGTTTGGGTTTATGGCCTCTAGGGCCTGCGTAGGGTCGAAGAGGCTAAGGGGATCTAAGGGGCGTGTCCACCTCAGATTGGCCACAACACATGCGGCACGGGTTCTCGACTGCGATTCTTTCAGGACCCAGACGCTGTCCAAGACAGCAAGGCACCGCCTACACAGGAGGCCAGCGAGACGAAGCCTCCTCAAGCTGCCGAAGGTGTTGTCGCTCGTTGGCACAGCGGTTTCAGTCTGCACCTTGCAGAAATAGAAGGCAGCAGCGCTTTTGGGATCCGAGGCCCTGCCGCAACCTGCGGCAGCTGAGGACACAGTTTCCTCTTCCAAGGCCGCGTCGAAGAGCGCAGACGCGGCAGGGACACCTGAGACCCCTCAGGACAGCGAGCGTCATGCATGTCCACTTTATGCTGGACCGCACCCTTTGCAATGATCCGAGGAGTTAGCCTCCAGCAAAGAGAAAGCCACCGAAAGCACGGCAAAAAAGACGCCGGCCAAGCAGAAGGAGGCCAGCAAGACAAAGCCTGCCAAAGCTGCCGACAGTGTTGTCGCTTGTTGGCACAGGGCCGTTTCAGCTTGCCCCTTGCAGAATTTGCAGCAGCGCTTTTTTTGGGATCCGAGGCCCTGCCGCAACCTGCGGCAGCTGAGGACAAAGCTTCCTCTTCGAAGGCCGCGTCGAAGAACGCAGACGCGGCAAGGACACCCGAGACCCTTCAGGACAGCCGGCGTCATGCATGTCCACTTTATGCTGGGCCGCACCCTTTGCAATGATCCGAGGAGTTAGCCTCCAGCAAAGAGAAAGCCACCGAAAGCACGGCAAAAAAGGCGCCGGCCAAGCAGAAGGAGGTAAGCAAGACAAAGCCTGCCAAAGCTGCCGACAGTGTTGTCGCTTGTTGGCACAGGGCCGTTTCAGCTTGCCCCTTGCAGAATTTGCAGCAGCGCTTTTTTTGGGATCCGAGGCCCTGCCGCAACCTGCGGCAGCTGAGGACAAAGCTTCCTCTTCGAAGGCCGCGTCGAAGAACGCAGACGCGGCAAGGACACCCGAGACCCTTCAGGACAGCCGGCGTCATGCATGTCCACTTTATGCTGGGCCGCACCCTTTGCAATGATCCGAGGAGTTAGCCTCCAGCAAAGAGAAAGCCACCGAAAGCACGGCAAAAAAGGCGCCGGCCAAGCAGAAGGAGGTAAGCAAGACAAAGCCTGCCAAAGCTGCCGACAGTGTTGTCGCTTGTTGGCACAGGGCCGTTTCAGCTTGCCCTTGCAGAATTTGCAGCAGTGCTTTTTGCAGCCGCAACCTGCGGCAGCTGAGGACAAAGCTTCCTCTTCTAAGACTGCGCCAGCAGCAGAAGCGCCGAAACCGGCGAAGAACGCGGACGCGTCAGGGGCTCCTCAGGACTGCGATTGGCTCTTGATGTCGTTTTGCATGCGGCCACTGTCGAAACTTGAGGAACCCCCACCCCACCCTCTAGACCCGAGACACCATGCGATAGTGTAGGGTTTCGGGTTTTCGGGGAATCGGAAGTGGCAAGTGGGCAGTTCCTTTGGGTTCTCTTATTAGGGTTTGTGCATCGACTGAGCTCTGCCCTGCATTGTCACCCAGTAGTGTGGAAGGTTTGCCAGGCGCCTTCGGAAATGTCTCTCTCTCTCTCTCTCTCTCTCGTTCTCCTCTGTCTCTTTCTTGCTCTTTCTCTTTCGCTTTCGCTTTGTCTCTTTCTCTTTTTTTCTTTTTCATCGTTCTCTTTCTCTTCCCTCTTCCCTCTTCCCTCTTCTCCTTCCCCTTCCTCTTCCTCTTCCTCTTACACTTCCTCTTTCTCTTCCTCTTTCTTTTTCTCTTTCTCTTTCTCTTGCGCTTGCTCTTTCTCTTTCTCTTTCTCTGTCTCTGTCTCTGTCTCTTTCTCTCTCTCTCTCTCCCTCGCGCTCTCTCCCTCTCTCTCTCCCTCCCTCCCTCCCTCCCCTCCCCCCCCTCCCTCCCTCTCTCTCTCTCTCTGCTATGCGGAGGGGGGGGGGGGGTAAGGATCTACCCTGACTTGACACGTCCATGTCATTCGGTGGAGTCTGAGGGCGGACCTCTCGCAGCACAGCTTTTGCCCTGTAATTATGCTGCTGCGCACTTGTGGTGGGCGCAGGAGCCGGCCTCGAGCCCAGAGAAGACCGTTGCAACGCCACCCAAGGCAACAAGCGCAAAGAGCACCAAGAAGGCTCAGAAAGAGCTGCTCTTTTGTCTACACAGAGAGGTTTGAGGCTTGAATCAGTTAAACAGACAGGAAAAATTGTTAAACAACTTCGAAGCAAAAGGATGATGTGATGCTTTTGTTTCGTTGCTGCGGCAGTTTCAGTAGCTTCAGCACAAGCAGCCGCCTATACTGACTGCTGGTACGACAACCTGCATCAACATGTCTGAACCCCACCCTCATGACGGCAAGTCTGAAGCTTCACATACTGGCTTGGAGGAAGAACTTGCGGCGTCGAACGAAAAGAGGCTTGGATGGTCTTCGGCACTGCACCGACACCGAGTAGTAGCAGTAAGTCGTAGCGGGTGTGGAACCCTAAACACTAAACCCTAAACCCTAAAACCCCCTATACAAGATCGGCAAGGAGGGATGTGGAGGTGGAGAGCACCGGAGCCGAAAGCGCTGAGCAGACACAAGGGGATCCCGTCTACACCAGGAGCTTCGAAGCCGACGTTCGGACGCTGGGATCTTGTTAGGGCTTAGGGTTTTGGGTATTGGGTTTTGGGTTCAGGGTTCAGGGTTCAGGGTTTAGGGTGTAAGACGTGGAAGGAGTTGCAGCAGGGAAAGCAGTCACAGTTCACGATTGCTTTTCTTGTGATCATACCCCCCCCCCCCCCCTAAAACCAAAACCTCAACCCCCAACCCTAGAGCCTAAAGCCTAAAGGGCGGGGGTTAGGAGAAATTAGGCCCAGCTGTGGCCCAGGAATATTCTGGCTGGCAAGGTCAACCTGGAGACAGAGCAGGCTCCAAGCGGTGTAGGGTTGAGGGTTTAGGGCTGAGGGTTTATAGCAACAAGGGTGCATACACACTTGCAGCTGTGGCTTGCGCACGGCTGCTTGGAGTGTCAGGGCCTCGGGTTCAAAAAGGGTGCATATATGGGGGTGCATACAAGATAGCCCCCATAGCCATCTGCCGGCGCGGACAAGAACCGCCAATGAGTTGGTGAGTTTGGCGAACTTGCGGGCGTGCTGGTCCGGAAGGGCTACTTATGGCTAGTTGATGTTGCCGCTTGCCCCAGCTGCTTCGTTTCCAACAGTGGGACCACACCAGTGCTTCGAGACGGAAGTCTCCAGCAAAGAATTTCCCTCACATCAACTGGAGCAAGTCGGGCAAGTGAGTCGCGGCCCAGACGTTGCAGTTTAACTGGGGTGCCACTAACTCAAACAAGTGGGACAAACAAAGGACTCCGCGATTTTTGGGAAGGGAGTATCTGAGGCAAAGTGGCGGGGCGATGCTTCCCTTTTGAAGTTTCATCTGAGGGGAGAAGACGTGCATCGTCTCGAGGCATGGCTTTCCAAGTCGCGCTTGATCTGGAGCGCTCCCAAGCAGGCAGAATCGTGCTTGCTTCCGGCGTCCTGAATCTTCAGAATCTTCAGAGCGCGCATGAGTCGACGTCGAAATGACTTCAAGATGTCCATGCTTCCTCAAGCGCACCGTAAGAGGAGCCCGCCACTTCCTCCCTCCGAACCAAAAAAGACATGTACGCTGAGGACAGTTCGTTTGGGGTTTGCGGTTTCGGGTTTTTGGTGCAAATCTGTCAGATCTAGCCAGTCCCTTCTCATGCCTGGGCTGGAATGATTCCGAGTCACGCAGACATGCCGCTGCCGCCCGATCCTGCCGCCCGATCGCCTCGCCATCAAGTAGCCGTCAGTGGCTGCACCTGCGTGTACGGATTCTTGTGGCGATTTCTCAGCGGGCCGATAATTAATTTCGAGTGTATGTATTTATACAGAATACATATAGAAAAGGAAACAGATGTCTACATGTGTATATATATATATACACTTATATTGATATGTATGTATTATGTATAAACCGATCTGTAGACATATCTATAGTATACATCATGTAGTATATGTTCGTATTTGTATTTTTCTTGACATCGTGCAATGTCCCGGTTGTGCTTTCCGCCTAGTTCGGGCCCGGGTCGGGGCCAAAAAGACAGCCAGCTCGTGATTCCAGGAGGAGGCGCCCTCCCCGGCCAAGCCTTCCAAGAAGAAGCAGACAGCCGCGAAAAAGGCAGGGGTCTCATGTTTAGGGGTTTACTTAGGGTTTAAAGGAATCGAAAAAATTCCGAGGTTTCATGGGCTGCCAGCGTTGACTGAGAGATTGCGTGCTCTCTTGAGGCTGACTTTCGCCTGCGCAGGTACAGGAGACTGAGGAGCATCTCGAGTCGCTGCTCGAAAGGAAGGTCAAGCTTATTGCCGTGGCAGCTGGCATCTCAGATGAACTGCCCGCGAATATTCGCACACCACGCGCCCTTGTCCGGCACATCTGGTATAGCTTGTGCCCTTGTGCGAGTTGGTGGGTGACCTGCACCGCAACGGTCGCATCGAGACGGTGTGCGAGACCCAGACTCCCACTTCTGTTCCGAAGGTCTCGTGAGGCTTCTGTCGCCACATCCGAAGCCTCAACCCTGTAAACCCTAACCCAAATGTATTCAAAGTCCAAGAGAAACGGGTGTTCAACCTTTATCTGCCGAGGATGGTCTGTGAGGCGGCCCAAGGTCGTTCTTCGGTTGTCGTTTCCAAGGAGCTGGGGGGGGTTAGGGTATAGGGTTTGGGGGTGCGGTTTTGGGTTTTAGGGTCTAGGGTTTAGGCGTTTTTTGAGAGGAGAGCTATGTCCGTTGCAAGCTGATGTGGGCTTGCGGCTGTGATGTTTTGAGGGGTGTTTCTGATTCAGGGTTCCCTCTTGTAGAAGGGATTGCACCTGATAAGAATATTGTACCCTAACAGTTACGTGGTGGTTCTAGTTAGAAGCCCGAAACTCCATAAACCCTAAACCATCCAAAAAACTTAAAAGACACCCTATGCAGCCCTGTGAAACCAACCCATAAACCCAAACAACCCTCGGCCCAAAGCAACCCTATGAAACCCTGTCAACAAAAGAAACTCTGAAGCACTAAAAAAACCCTGTAAAACCCGATGAAACCCGATAACACCTCATGAAGCCCAACAGAAACGCTATCAAAGCCTACGGAAGCCTTTGTTACCCTATGAAACTCCAAAGCTGAGCCCCAAGAAAGCCTATCAACCCACCCCAAAAAAACCCTATGAAATCCCTCTGAAACCCTGAAACCCGTTTGAAGAACCCTATGAAGCCTCATGAAAGCCCAAACCTCTCTGAAACCCTTGGAAGCCGTAAAAGAAGCTTGCTCGAACTCCCCCCCCTAAACCCTAAACCCTTAACCCTTAAACCCTAAACGCTAAACCCTCAACCCTAAATCCCGACGAAACCCCATGAAGTCCCTTTGCCAGGATCTCCTGAAAGGAAGCCGAGCCCCGGCCCCAAGTTTGCCTTGGGTGCCCAGGGGGAGGGTTTAGGGTTTAGGGTTTAGGGTCCAGGTGCACAAGAGAAGGGTTTCGGTTTTCGGGTTAGGGTTTAGGGTACTCTTCTGTCGAACAAGAGCGAGTCAAAGCTCCTTGGCAGCAACGAGACCCGTTACAAAAAGTATTTTCGGGCAGAGGCCTGGATGCAAAAGGGTTTCAGGGCTTCAGGTGTTTTTCGTGCTGTTGGGGTTTTACTCGTAGGGTTTACTAGTGTTTTCGGGCTTTTCGGCTTTTAGGGTTTCAGGGTTCCCTTCCTTCTGAAGCCATGGTTAACGGAATTGTTACCGATGCTACCGGGCTGGCATTGCGTCCAGTTGCGGTTTTGTCCAGGCAACTCCTCAGCTTGTGTGGCGCGTAGGCTTCCGGAGCAAAAGACTGTCGACACCAGTTGAGACGAGACTTTGTGAACAGCGGCCGTGAGTTTCTCGCAGACATTCCCCGAATGTGGCCTGATGTAAATAATTAAGCAATACATGTTGACGAATGCATCCGAACAGCATGCACAGCCAGAGTCCTGGTCGGAAAGTTGTTGCACGCTTTACGGGGCAATTTCATGTTGCGCATCAAGAACAGGACATTTTCCGGGGCCACTGCGCACAGCTCGCATGAAGAAGGTCGCAACTCTGTCAACGCAGGTACGTTCGACTGGCCAAGGCGGACACACAATTCCATCTGCAACTATAGATTCGTTGCACGCCGCCAACCCTTAGCTTCGAATCAGGGGATAAACCCTATAAACTCTACAAACCCTATAAACAATATAAACCCTATAAACCCTACAAACCCTATAAACCCCTACACCCTAAACCCGGAGTTTCCCCCGCACCTGAAATCAGCGACGCACGCAGGCGTTAAGCTTTTTGACTGAGGTCCGACAAGCACTCAAGCAGCTCCTGGAAGCGAAAGAGGCACATCGTTCGGTTTTTGATTCTGTAAATGATGGCTTTTTTGAGTATGTTTCATTACGTTCCTTCATATATGTTTTTTTTTTTGGGGGGGGTTTTAAGTACTGTGTTGTTTCTAGGATCATAATATCGACACATACAATAACGTTGGACCCCCCTCTTTAGCGCGCCACCCCCCCCCCCCCCCTCCCCCTTCCCCCCCCTCAAGAGTCCAGCTGAAACGTCGCCTGTGTGGTTTCAGCTTGGGACAGGTAGTGAAGGTGATGCACGATTGCCGCATGGCCGCGGATGCCCTCGGCTCTTTGCCGGCCTTCCTTGTTTGACCATCTAGCCAGTCACTTGAGAGCACGGCTGCAATGGTTGTTGAAGTTCTCGAACTCGAAGCATGAAGTTGCGCCTCTTAGGGGGGTCGCAGCGAAACAGCTAAAGACGCCCCGTGGCAAGTGCCGCAAAAAAACAGGTTGGACATTCAGCTGCCTGCGCCTCAGGTCTCCAGGATGGTGGGTGCAGGGGCTTCGGTTTCGATGCCAGGGTTCCCTGGATCCATACACCCTAAACCCTAAACCCTATGTTTCTGGGATTGCCATGCATGCCAAGTCGTGAAGCTGTCATCACGCCCACATGACCAGCGGACACCGCATCTCCAGAAACTTGCGCTGAGGTGTAGCGTCTTTGACACAGCAATCGCCTGGCAAATGCTGCAAGAGACGGACTGGGATTCCAGGGGCTTAAAGGGTTTAGAACATCCCGAGTTCCAATTTTGGAGAGTCCAGAAATACTTCCCCTTCGCCATTGCACTTCAGGACCCCTCATCCAGCACGGAGTCTACAATTTTTCCGGCGATGTCCTTGGCTGCAAACACCTGGACACTCGAACTTGTGGAATACCAGGGGCATTGAGCACGTGGGTCGGGCAAGGTGGCCTTGCCAATCGGTGGCGATATGCGCGTTCATGTAGCCCTCAGCCCTCAGCCCTAAGGTCTTGCAGAAGTTTGCACCGTTGGCTGCCAGAGAGGTAAAAGCTGGAGACTCAGCGCCACAGGACAGAAATTTTCCGTCACCCAACAGGAAAGGAGCATTTGCACGCGCAGTCGCTGAGCCTCTCGGGCTTGCGGGCACTTGCAAGCAGGCCTCGGAGCTTCCGAGGCGGTGCAGGACAGAAAGAAGAAGGCCAAGAAAGCAGTGCAGCTCAACAAAGAGCAGGCCGGCTACCGGGGTATTGCTTGGTATTGCTTGGCCTTGGCTCACAGAAATGTCTGTCAGATGAGTCGAGAACGGGAATGGGTGATCATAGGCTTCAGGCCCCAATGCAATGTGGGCCATCGCCATCACAAAGAAGAGCCGAACCGCTAGCACCGCAGGATGCATCACGGTTTTCCCTTTGACTCACGCAGTACGGAAGAGTGACTCACTCGCCTGGATTTCTTTCAAGAATGACAGCCAAAGCTCGCAGATGCCCATGCGCGACCTCGAACAACCGTTTTCGGTCACTCGGTTCACTACACTAATGAGCACAGGGGGTTGGTTCTTCGACCCGCAGAACTACTGATCATCAAACTGTGAGTGGTAGCCTGGTAGCCATTGGGGTATAATGGCATTGCTGCTTTTAGGGTTGGGACTCTGCAGGCAATTTTCAGTCTGCTGGGCCTGCCGCAGCCCCAGCTATGGAAGGCTTTCTGAGGCAGTCTCAGTGCTTCAAGCGCAGTCACTGTCTCGAAGCGAATGGGAACTCAGGAAAGATGAGCAACCGCTTGGTGCCCAGATTTCGCATTGTGGTAATTGTCTAGATGCTCCAAGAATATCTAAACCCACACCTTGCCCGTATCTGTTGCGTCCAACTCGACGTTGATTAGGTCTTTAGGCTCACGGTCACTGCCGCGTTGGGCCCGTTAGGTTCACATAGGGCTTATGGGTTTTTAACGTTCAGGGTTAGGGTTTGGGGTTTAGGGGTCATATAGGTTGAGTCCGCCCCAATACCCTCAAAGCGTATTCACCCTAAACCTTGCAAAACACAAAATCCGTTTGACTTTCATCCCGAGAGCCCTCTCGCACCCCAAGGTTTGAACATAATTTACTTGCTATTTCCCTTGCTCCTCTATAAAATCCTTGTAAGACCATAAGATTTAATGCTTATAGGGCCCCCCAAACCTGCCCTAGCACATCTGGGACTTCCAGAGCTCGTTGGCTCGTCCAAGCTGTGTCCCGAACATTTGAGTTTACCGCACCTTCTTTGGAGAAGTCCTCTTTTTTATTTAGGGTTTAGGGTTTAGGGTTAGCTTAGGACTCTTAATCTAGGGATTAGGGTTCTTAAGGTTTAGGGTTTAGGGTTGAACACAAGCCAGCTAGAAGGTAAAATCATGCTAAGCACCCCTGAGGTCTTTGGACAAAGACCAGTTGGAGGCGTCCATTTGGGGTTTACGAAAATAAGGGGCCCCGAATATAGACCCCAAATAATAGGATTCCCATTTAATAAAGCACCCCTTTTTCGGAAACCCTAAACCCTAAACCCATCGCTCAGTTGCTCAGACTCAGAGATAGCGCCGAGTAAACCCATCAAATAGGCTTCGTCCACCCCTGCCATGTCTAGCTGTATGGATTATGGGTCTTCAGACCTTACGATACCTTGCGGTACCTGGTTGCTTGATCCGTAGGCTGGCTATAGTACACGGGGCTGCTTGCACCGGCTGTGATCCATGTGGGACTACTGGTTCTCGTAGCTCACATTAGCTCACCTAGGGTTAGTCAGGTCCCGCTGTTCACAGTTGGCCCGCTTGGTGAGGTCGACTGTGTGGTTTGTGGTTCGGGGTTTGAGATGAATCGTCATGCTCGCACGGTGACCTCGTGTAGGCAGTGACATTTGAAGTTTTTGTTTCCTGTGGTTATTTCTCCGATTGCTCATGACTGATGGATGGACGTTTGCATCCCTGCAGTGTGGTCGCGGGGCTGCTAGGCAGGTTGCAAAAAACCCTAAACCCCAACAAGGTACCCTAAAATTTCGGAAAACCCTCGTTTCCGACCATTTTTTAACGAGTGCGGTTTTTCGTTCGGCTTGGCATCATGGGTGACGGCGAGGGTTTCAGTTGGTTTGGACTCCGTGGGGTTGAGGGTTTTGGGTTTAGGGCCGCATGCGCGAAAGGAAGCTGGGTGTCCTTGGCATTGCTGGCTCGCAAGGACCTCTGGTAGCGAAATGTGGCGTCAAAAGCAAGTCCATGCTCAGTCCCAGCGCGACCTGACCACCTGCAGTAGAAGCTGGACCATTCTTACTGTAGGTGTGTGTGTGTGTGTTTTTTAAAGGCCGCCTTTGACTGTTAGTTGTTACTGACGCTCATGACCTCCCTGCCGTCTCGATGGCTCGGGCGCATTGGGCTCATAAGCTGGGCAGCTGCAGGCGCCTCGAAGGGGAGCCTTGAACCCAAGAACTCCTGGGAGAAAGCCAAGAAAATAGAGCATTTTGGTACCATTGTACTGTACTACTATGGGGGAATTATGTAGGGTCCCGAAGAGGAGCGAGTCTGCAAGCTGGTGCAGTTTGTAACTTCAGGCGGGAGGAGATTGCGTGCCGTGCACGCACATTTTGACACTGGCTAACAGGCTCAAAGGGTTTAGGGTTTAGGGTATAGGGACTTGTTCCAAAGAAACTCCTTGCCGGCCTACTTCAGCCTCAGTGGCTGAACTGCAGAAGCCAGCGTCATGTCAGCACACAGCACTGCGAGAAAATGCATGTCTTTAATCTCCGAAAAGATTTTCGGAAGTATTTCCGAACACCGGACTCCTGCTTCGTCAATCTATCCCCGCCTCAGGGCTCAGGAAAGCCTTGGGCTCTATACTTTGTCAGACTCTGTCAGCCTGTTCTAGCACATCCTGTGCATGAACCCCAGGCGTTCTGGGGATCGTTCATGAAGACCATGCCCCACACCAGTGTCTCGGCTGGAGTCAGGTATGCTTCTGTTACCGCAGCTGAGTTCGACCGGGCAAGTCTACGCTGGAGCTCGATTTTTCGAATTCTGGCTTGACAACGCTATGCGCGGCTTTGTCGTCTTCTGAGGCTAGGGGTTTTTTTGACCTGAGCATGCATAGAAAAACGACTATGTGCGACTGGAAGGTTTGCCGCATGTTTCAGTTCCGAAATCGGGTTTCATTCTTGAGGTTCACGTACCTATCGGTGTTCACAGCTACGTTTTTGGAGCCTTCTTCAGCACCTGAGGACGGCTTCGCAGACAACAGTCTCAACACTGAATCCGGCTCGCATAGTGTGTGTGTATGTATGTGTGTGTGCGTGTGCGTGCGTGCGTGTGTGCGTGTGTGTGTTTCTGCTGGGTATACAGCAAACGTTAGGAGCGGCAGGGGAATCCTCAACACTTTGAATCCTCAACCCTACATTCTCTCGGCATTCCTGCACCCTGGGGCTCTTATCACCCTGAACCTGAGCTCTCCCAAAGGTGAGTTTTGTAAGTGTGAGTGGCTTATGATCCGGCAGTCAGCTTCGTTCACAACTCTGGGGTTTAGGGTGTAGGGGTTAGGGTTTAGGGTTTAGACAGCAAGAAGCCCGAAATTCCGAAGCCTCCCTTATACCAGACAAGGCAGCATGCGGCTTCTGGAAGAGCTGTGAAGTCGCAAACGCAGGCGGGCTTGGCAAGCCTGCAACACGCGAGGGCTTTGGCGGGAAGGTTGTTGGTTGAGGTGGGTTGGGGCCTCTTGGGGCCCATGCATACATGTGATAAATGACAAATGGGTTATATATTGGGAGTTCTTATTGTTTTCGTAATACTGGCGCCATACACACGTATATATCTATATACATATATATTTATATACACATATATATATATATATATACATACATAAATATATTGGGAATTCTTATTGTTTTCGTAATACTGGCGCCATACAGACGCATATATATATATATATATATACGTACATATGGTTTGCACGACCCCCTCGTACAACCAGTGGGCTCAAGAATCTCTTGGCAGGAGTCCAGCTTTGATGCCTTTCTTCAGCAGATCGGGGGGGCGGCTGTGGTGTCAACGTGCGCTGTGACTTACTTGGCCAATGGTTGAACTTTAAACTGTTTGGGTTTCCTTGTTTAGTAGGAAAAATACAAGTTTAACCTTTTTTTCCCCTTGGCGATTGGAGAAGTAAGGTGAGTGGCCTGCTCTTGAAGAAGGGCTTGCAGGAAAAGGACTGTCCCCCAAACCTGCCTGGCTTGTCCAAGTTGGCGGTTGAACCCCGAGTAAAACCCCGACTCTCGCGTCTGAATCTCCAAGTCCTTGTAGATATATGGTTGTTTATATTTGTGTTTTTTGGATGTGGGGGGGGGGGGGGGGGGGGGGGGGGGGAGGCCGGGGATGGCAAGGGGGCTGGGGTATGGTACGGGGTGCGGTTTACAAAGAGGCCAGAAATCTGAGCAAACTGTGAGCTCCCAGGACGACGCAGTTCGTGTTGTCAAGAGCGCGAGCATGGGGCAAGTCGGCGTGGTGCTGACAGCGGTGGCAGCGCTTTTGGTAGCTGCGAGCTCAGAGTTTCTTGAGAATGTTCGGTTGAATGAGGCTTTAAGGTCTTAGACCTTGAGGGTCAGATTGTCAGAAGGATTTCGAGTTTAGCCCTAAACCCTAAACCCTTAGCATAGTTGAGGCCCCAAGCAAAGCAAACAAAGCTGCAAGGCGCTTTGCATCGATGTCCCGGGCTACGTGAACCTGGGAACAGAGTTAGCCCGATAGTTTTGCCCCACGGTCCAGGCTGAGAGCTTCTTGAATTTTAGGGTTTAGGGTTTAGGGGTTAGGGTTTAGGGTTTAGGGTTGAGGGTTTAGGGTTTAGGGTTTAGGGTTTAGGGTTCAGGGTTCAGGGTTTAGGGTTTAGGGTTTAGGGTTCAGGGTTTAGGGTGGCTACGTGGCATGCCAATGCATCTGGCCCACTTTTGGACGTCATCTGAGGTATGTCTTCCTGATGGGAACTGCTTGGAACATCCACTCGCACTTGTGAAGTGTGATGGGCATAGTAGACAATGAATACGTTCATGAAGCCAGATGCTGTGTGTTCAGCGGCCGCGGGCCATGGATTGTGATGCGGTTGCAGCGGGAACCAAAGAACACAGAGGGCCCTGCAGAGGCGATATACAGGTCCACACCCTTAAGCTTTAGCCATGACATATGACCAGCCAAGGGTCCATGCAAACCCAACCCCAATGTAGATCCCCAAATAGTGGGATCCCCTCATCATAAGGACCCCAAGAAGGTATCCCTAATTTCGGAAACCCTAAACCCTAAACCCTAAACCCCCAAATCTTGCTTCAACCTCCTCCGCTTGCACAGGCCATTCGGTTCTTGGAGCTGAAGGGTTTGCTGACCGCGCTGCGGCCCCATTGCAGAACGGCTTGCCAACAGCTCATCTTGGGATGTTCACCTTGTATACCAACAGTCCTTAATAGGGAAAATAGTACCCCCTGTTCGAATACTAGCAGTCCTTAATGAAGATTATAGTACCCCCTATATCAGAATCCCCAGAAAGGACTGTTAGCAGAAGGGGGAACATCCCAATGCTCATCAATCGAAGAACGTCTTGTGACGTCTTGGCAGTACCGGTGTTTTTTGGGCACTACGGAGGCCATCAAGGTTGCAGGCAAGGAGTGCATGTTATGCATGTTCATGCGCACGCCATGCTTTGCCCTCAAGATGAAAGTCAGCCAGCAGGTTTCTTGACGCGCCCAAAGGCGCCAAGGGGCCGACCGGGCAATGGCCATGTGTAATGTGGATGAGCTCTCCTCCGTGGACGCGGTGGAACAGCAGCTGGATGTTATCCAATCACTCCGAAACGATGTGGAGGCCTTTGCGCAGAAAATGAAGAACAAGCTCAGCGGAATGGAGGACGCACTGCAAAAACAGGTAGAGGACCTGTCAGACACGGTTGCAAATGAGCAGCGCCTTGCCATTCTTAAGAAGCCCTTTGCTCTTTCCCTGTCTATTTCCACAGCATGAAGGCCGTGCCCGGATACCAATGCGTCAGAACAAGAGAGCATAATCCAACCAAGCAGCACAAACCTGCGCACTCCCTCCCAGATGCGAACGGAGTAATCGGCGTCGTACCACCAGCTACGACGAGTCGAGACGCGTGCAAGAGCCCGCAGCGTTGCTTTGGCTTCGGATTCCTTCTTGGCGTTACACCCTAAACCCTAAACCCTAAACCCACTTCCATCAACCCCCAACAGCCCCGCTGACAGCAAACTCAAGCCCCCAAGCCCTAAACCCCCAAGCCCTAAACCCTAAACCCTAAACCCTAAACCCTAAACCCTAAACCCTAAACCCTAAACCCTAAACCCTAAACTTGCTGGCCGATGCTAGGAGTGAGGTCCTGGTGCATCGATTAAAGGTTATAGCATCATTGCAGATCCTCGGGGGTTCTTCTTGCGTGAGAACTGTCTCTTTTTTTTGCGGGAGGAACAGCTCAACATCTCATTTCAATGGAGCATTGAGTTGGCGAGGTTCAGGGGTTTAGGGCAAATGGAAAGAAGGGTTTAGGGCGCAAAAAGTCGCGAGGAAGGCGGTGAGTGAGGGAGAGAGTAGCACATGAATCCTTCATCGATGCTACCGACGCTGACCCTGCAAGTGGACCGCGGACTAGGAGAACAAAGCGTGAAAAGAAGCAAATGAACGAACTGTACGGGCTAGTAGTAATATTAATACGCGCTACACATTTGAATAATAAAATCGTGCACAAGTTTACATTTTATATTAAAATTGCGCATTATTATATTATTAACCCGTGTGCATGAACGTACGCATGAACACCATAGTATTATTATAATGCAAGGAACGCGCGATAATAATAATAATATTGTGTTCGTGCCCTTTTCCCCCCTTAATAATATAGTACGGGCGTATAAGGGCGAAAAGACCATTATGACACCCGAAATATATTAATTAAGGGCCCTGTCATGCTGTGTTAAAAGCCCCTCTAAAAGACTTATATCATAATGGGGCTTTTACCTACAGCATTACAGGGGGAAAAGTAAAAGGAAAAAGAACATAGTGCGTGTACTTGCAACATTCGTTCGCGCGTGAACACGAAATTCGTATGATTATCAGGCTTATTTTGAGGGGCTTATTTCGATCGCTCCTTTAATACTTATATTATATGCGCGGTCGAAACACGCTCCCAAAATAGTTCTTTGTGCTCTCTTCGTTCTTACTTCGTTCATTACATTCTCTTCGTAGTATTAAAAGAGTGTGAACGAAGTGAGCACGTTCGGTCGCTCATAACCGGGGCGCTTTCTGTCAGAGTTTGGATGCTTCTCAACCCTATCGCCCTAAACCACCCATTCCCTTAGCCGCTAAACTGCGCCACCCGTTGTGCAAGCGTGAGCATCAAAGCCCCCACAACCCGAAACCCTTTCAAGGCCTAAACACCATCAATGTTGAGCCCAGGCTGATCGAGCACCGGCAGAAGAAGTTCGAAGCCAGTGCTGGCTGGCAGCGGGTCTGACAGGGCTGAGCGGAAGAGTGGTATAGGGTTTGGCAACCGAGCGTTTTCTCGCCAAACACACTTCTTTGTCAGGGGCTTGATTGGGGCTGCCTATCTTTGTGTCAAAGAGGGTTTATGGGGAAGGTGGGACAGAATTGCTGTGCGAATTACTGAAATGTACGATGTCTGGGGATCCTGCACACTGTGTGCAGTAAGATGGAAATTCGGAAACGAGCCAACGAGTTATTCGGTTGCATTGAGCTACATCACGCGGAGTTTGGGAAACTGTCCTGCGCTGCACGACAACTGCCCTCATGGGCCCACTGGAGCCCCAAATCGCAGCCCAAGGGGTCGCAAGCAGTCTGCAAAGTTCGCTGATGTGGTCCGCCACCGCAGCTTCCATGTGGGTTTTTCAAAAACTCGGGGTACCCCTTGCGTACCCCATCGAATCCCCTTCAGGGAACCTCCAAAAAAGGGTACCCTTATTGTCGGAATCCCCCCCATGTATCTGAAAGTGACATAAGGGTGTTTGGAGCTCTTCCGGTGGCTTATATCGCCTCACGATTTTCTTGGGGTGTAGGGTTTAGGGTGCCCTTGTCGACGACTTCACGGTGTTGCGCAGGCGATACAGATTCCGAAGCTGGTTTGTTGACCGCACGTCTGCAGGCAAAATGGCGTAACTCCCTACTAAGGTCCAACTATTTAGTTATTGCCAGTGCAGCAGTCAAGGTATTGGCCATTGGGGACCGTGAGTTCGTTGACGCAGACTACCACACTTCTTGGCAACACGAAAGAGGTCAGACTGCACAATCGGTGGATGCAGCTGTCAATGCAGGCCGAGGCCCTGTCTCCTGGAGCCTGAGCAACCATTTTTGCCCTAAACCCTAAACCCTAAACCCTAAGGTGTGCCTGAAGTAACTTGAACACAGTATTTCCTCTTCAGTTAGACGGGTGGCAAACAAAAGGGTGTGCCTGACCTGGCTTGGCCGAGCGCGAGCGATTAACCCCAAAGCCCCAAAGCCAAATTTGGGGGGCTCACCTCTGTGATGGTACACTTAGACATACTGAGGCTGGCACTATCCGAGCACCACCGGACACCTTCCTTGAAGGGGGTCAAGCTTTCTCCGTCCTTTGTTTCCGAGCCCGAGCTGCCAGGGAGTAGACGCTTGTTCCACCCTTTGGGCAAGATTCGGGTGTTTTGGGATCTTTGTGGCCTCTTTCTCCTGATCGTTGACACGATCCTTCTGCCACTTTCGTTGGCATTCAACTGGGGCTCCGATACTCAAGATGCCGGCAGTTTGTTCCTATTTCTCGATTTCGTCATTAGCGTGGGCTTCTGGACGATCGACATCTTTATGAATCTGGGTTGTGTGTTTGGGACATTTTTGAATATTCCTTCCTTCCTTATAAGGGAAACTATTCATGAATAATTGTCAAAGGGTTTAAAGCACAATTCAGGAACGTGAACACGGCTTTTTTCGAGAAGGGTTCCTTGGTCTTCGATCGAGCGGCAGTTGTGAAGCACTACGTGAAGACATGGCCGCTTAGCTGCTATGCATGTAAAGGGGGCCCCAACTTGTGTGTTCAAGCAGGATCTCGGAATGACTGTTGCATGCGCCTAGGCGCGCACTGCATGGCCAGGAACCAGGAAAGAACTGCCTGCCACAGTCATGCCAAAGCAGGTGACTTTGGTTCGAGTAGTGAAGTAAAGTCTGTGAATGTGAGGTGTCTGCTCGATGTTAGTGTCGTGGCCTTGGACTACGTCACCCTGGCCAACGTCTTGGCAGAGGATCGGGGAGCAGACCTCACGGTGCTGCGGTTTGCACGCCGCCTGGCCTTTACAGGGGGAAAAGAACACAGCTAACTAATACAAATATACGGCATGAAAGAGAAAGGGGGAAGGTACAAGGGGCTCACGTAAGTTTCGAAGGCAGACGTACTTTCAGTGCCACCACGCCAGAAAGTCGAAGAAGTTTTTTTTATGGCTCGGGACGGACTTGAAATTCAGAGCCAAGGCATCATTCGAGCATTTCGCCTCTTACGTTTGTTGAAGATGGCACGCTTTGATGCCGCTTGGCCCGATTCGTCGCAACTGTAAGTATTCGCATAAGCTGTTCCCCTTAACCCGCTAAACTGCCGTGTCCTGTGTGAGTATGGGAGGTGGGGGAAGGTGACAACCCTCAACCCTCAACCCTAAACCCTAAACCCTATGCGGTGGGCTTGGGTGCTGTAGGGGTTCCTCTTGCGGAGGACTTGATGCAAGAGATCGCCGCCTCCACAGGGCGTCAGTGGCTGATGCTGGTGCCTTGGGAACAAAAAAACACCCTAAACTAGGGTTCATGGTTCATACGTATATATATATATATATATATTTTTTATGCATTTATATTTCTATGTTTATTTAATTGTAACTCAATCGGAATTATAGTAGTATAGGGTCTATATCCCCAACTTTTGGGTTCACTTCCCCAAGGTCGTGGCCATTATCAATACAACGGTGGCCATCCTCCTGATCGCTCATGTGATGACCTGTACTTGGGTGGGCCTCGGTGTCTACATCGAGCGTACTGATAACTGGCTGGCGCTTGCGGCCCTGGAAAATGCAGAGCCGGGCCCAGTACCGAACTTGGATCCATGGCTGAAGTACTTGCATGCCTTTCGCTACGTCATGGACGCCCCATCGCCACCTGTCATGGCACCGGATAGCGCGGAGGAGCGCTTGTTTGATATTCTGACCAGTATCTTCTGCTTTGTTGTGATTGGTGGTGCCATCTCAAAGATCTCTGGGACCATCGTGGAGCTCCGCAGCATGAATGAGGCAAAGTCCAAACAGCGCTGTGATCTACGCCAGTATTTGCAGAGCCAGGATGCGTCTTTCGAGCTCGTGTCGCG